CTCATCTTCTTAACCTTCCCACGCTCCTGTTGGGGGCTAAGGAAACGCTTATCTCCCTGAGCGTGGCCTTCATAAGTCCATTCCATCACAGGTAGGCAGATCACAAGGTCATCTTCTTACCACTCGTCGTCAGGCGGAGGGCTCGTGACGAGCCTGGAATGAGACGAGCCGCCGACGTTTTGGTGGTGGGAAATTATTAGGGCGCAATCCCACCTCCCCATCTATCTAGAGAAGTGGGGTGCCTGAGCGGGCTGTAGAGTATCGGCCCTTCTGTACGGGTCAGTTCATAAGGAGCTTCTGTGACCTGTCCACGCTGGGCCTCTTCGGAAGAGAAGCTGGCTTGTGTTTCAGCCGCGGTTGCAGGCAGCGCCTCTGCCCACCTCACTCCATTCGTCCCCTCTTCCTCCCGAGGGGGTGGAAAAAGCGGGTTGAGAAAAAGCTGAGCAGTTCTGATCTGATTCCCCCCCCCCCGCAAACTTATTTCGGAGGAGACGCGTACAGGACCGGGGTATCAATCCAGCACGACTTCGTTCTCATTGGCCCACATTGCCACTGCGGAGAAATGCAGCCCGCACATTTGTGCCATTGCACCATGGTGAGAAATGCGGAAGGCGATGATGCGGGCTGCAGAAATCGCTCGTTTGGGATGGCCGGGGCGGAACCCGAAGGGAAGCGGCACAAGGCGGCTTGTTTCCTGCACAATCCCCCTCTTTCATTCCCTCCGAACAATGGCAGGGCTCCTTCTGCTGGAACGCGTCGTGCATTCACAAACATCCCACTGCCATCGTGTGGGCGCTGGACCAAAAGGCAGGAGGCGGCTGGCACCATCCCGGGCACTTTTATTCATGCCCAGCCAAGCTGCCGCCGCTGCCACCGCATCTGGGCTGTGGAGAGGCTGGTCCAGAAGAGGCAGCGCTAAGGGGCAAAGTCTTCCTTTGGGAAGACTGGGTGAGTTTCGGATTGGTGGTGAGGCTAGTGGGAAGCGTGGCTTCATCTGCACGGTTTGTCTTCTGCACCCGGCTCTCCAAATTGCATGCACCGTTGTAGCTGCAGAAGGTCGGGCATGATCCGGAGGGACAGGCGCAGGAAAAAAAACCTACAGGAAAAATATCCGGCTTGAGCTCCCTGCAACTACTAAGGTGTGATGCTAAAATGTATCCTTCGGGCGCAATCGGGATTCGAACTCGGGACTGAAAGGCACGCCTTCGCGGCTTCTGCCCATCTCGCCTCTAGCCCGTCCCATTGGCTACGACAGTCGATTGGGCGGGCGCTGAAAACGAGGACGTTCCTTCCGCAGGAGGGCGCTCGCTTCACAACGCATCTCCCAAACTTCCGCACCACAGAGCGCAAAACAATCTAGAAAGTCAACCCCTTCGGACCTCACTTCCGGCCTGATTGCACAAGCGCCCAGGAGGGTTTCTTACCATGGAGATGTCGATGCCTAGAACAGCTCCCGACGCCCGGGGCCGAAGTCCGCTTCTGCGGCTCAAAGCACTATGACTGACGGAGCGGTGACGTAACGTTTAGAGCCGGCCTCCGAGGTGATCTGACGCTCCTATTGGCTGGGTGCTCTGTTGCTCAAGCGGGCCAGGGGCGGGGCTTCAGCCTGCGGCTCCTCAGAGCTGAGGGCGGCGGCGGCGGCGGTGGCACGGGGCTGGGAGGCCGCTGAGGGAAATCGAGCGGCGGGGATCCTCCAGGCCTCCGCGCCGTCCCTGCGAAGCGAGGAGGCGGCGAACTCGCGGCCTTGACGGAGGGGGCGCGGCCGTACGGGACCTCATCATTATTCCTGAGCGGCGCGAGGCATGCTGGGTGACCCTCGTTAATATTCATTAGCCTCATACATATTAATACACTCATGGAAAGGTAGGAGCCTGGAGTTTCTGCTCGTTCCCCTCTCTAAGTTCTCACGGCTTCATTGGATGGAATAGAGTCTGGCCCCTGCGTGCCTCTGATGAAGTGAGCTGCAGCTTATATACACACGCACATTTGGGTGTGTATATATTTTTGTCTGTTTGTGTATACATATATACTATATCCTACTACTAGATACTACTACTAGATACTTATATACTACTACTATATGGTACTACTAGATACATATATACTATATACTACTAGATAGTACTACTAGATATGTATATACTATATGCTACTACTAGATACTACTACTAGATACATATATACTATATACTACTAGATAGTACTACTAGATATGTATATACTATATGCTACTACTAGATACTACTACTAGATACATATATACTATATACTACTAGATAGTACTACTAGATATGTATATACTATATGCTACTACTAGATACTACTACTAGATACATATATACTATATACTACTAGATGCTACTACTAGATATATACTACATACAACTATATGCTACTGCTAGATACATATATACTATATGCTACTAGATATTACTACTAGATACATATATACTATATGCTACTACTAGATATTACTACTAGATACGTATATACTATATGCTACTACTAGATATTACTACTAGATACATATACTAGATGCTACTACTAGATACTACTATTAGATACATATATACTATATACTACTAGATGCTACTACTAGATATATACTATATACAACTATATGCTACTGCTAGATACATATATACTATATACTACTACTATATGGAGTCCTTGGGGTTCTCTGAGCTTGGTTCTTTTCTTGCAAACGTTTCATTCATTCATTCATAAACGTTTGCAGAAAGGAACCAAGCTCAGAGAGCCCCAGGGACTCCATGGTTCAACCCTGAGCTACACATATTCGCCTCTATTGGTACTGTGAGAAAAATGAAAAATATATCTTTGGGTGAATCTTTGGGTGAAAAAGACAAGTTTTTAGAGGCCTCAGATTCACCCAAAGATATATCTTTCTCACAGTACTACTACTATATACATATGTACTATATACTACTAAGCAGTAGCAATACACGCAGTGGTGCCAAGTGGCAGCAACGTAAGGAAGGAGGAGGATGAGAAGCTGGAGGAATACCAGGGCCTGAAGAAAGAACTAGAGAGGATGTGGAAAGTCAAGGGCGAAGTGGTCCCAGTGGTGGTAGGAGCACTCGGGGCTGTGACTCCAGCAGATCCCAGGAGCAACATCAGAGCTCTCTGTCCAGGAGAGCGCAGGGCTAGGAACAGCTCAGATCCTGCGCAGAACCCTCCAACTCCCAGGCCTCTGGAGGAGGACCCGAGATTGAGGAAGACACAGACCATTCATAAGAGTGAAAGGGGAAAATTTTTTATATATACACGCACACGAAAAAAACCCAAGTAGGTCTCGATTAGTGCGGATAATGAATCCCATGGAATGGTCACATTATTCGTATTTGCACTATTCAAAGCGATGTTTCTATGGAAAGTAGGGTTATTAGTTCCAGGTCAAGTGAAATAAGCAATGACACATTTTGAACCTAAATGTTTTATATGTACACCAGTGAAATATGACAGAAAAGGAGCTCTGGGAGTTGAAGTCCGCCCATCTTAAAATTGCCAAGTTTGAGAAACGCGTCTCTTGCCTCTGCTTTTCCTGCCTCTCAAAAGTGGTGCTCAGCTCTGGGTTTACATCCATTAGGAAATTGGTGCAATGAGCCAAGGAGAAGAATAAATTGCTCAGACACCAGCAGCTATTTATTTATATACTGCGGTAATCAGAAACCCAAACTCAGTGGCTTATGGATTTAGAAAGGCTGTTTTTCTTTCCAGCAGGCTCCTGGTCCATTAACATCGGTCTGCTGGCCAAGACAAGCTTGTCTTGAAGAGATGAGTAAATAAAGGACCCGCATTTCATCTCTTAGATTTCTGCATATTCTGGGCAAATCTTGACTTGAGTCACGCCAAGAAGCAGAAGGAAAAGCAACTGCTTTGTGGAGGCCTTTCTCTCATTTTTAAAAGGAGGTAAACGTCTTCTTGTCTCTGGACAGATGTCAGGAATCTGGCTCCATTATGCTAAGCAGAAATGAGTAACCTTCGTTGTGTGTGATATATTTTTATTACCCCTGATATTTCCCATGTGTTTTTTCTTTTGTTCTTTGACATGCTATTTGGCTGGTGAATAATTCATCCTTGGGAGGCTTTGATGTTTTAAAATGTGTATATCTGCCATTGGAGCTGGTTGAATAAAAAAGACTCCTGTTGCATGCTTGATTTTTTCTTTTCTTTTATTCTCCGGCTCTTTTATGCATGGGTGTGAGAGAGATTCTTGCATTCTTTCTCCCAAAGGGAATAAAATGAGCAGTCACAAGATGGTTGTAGGGATACACACATGTAGCTTCTGCATGGCCAGAGTTTTCATTTCTCTCTGAAAGATGTGCTGCTTCAAAAGGATGATTTATGAAGGCAATTTGGAAGGTGCCGTTTTGACAAACAGCCGGTGGTTTTTAAATCCATTAAACTAGAATTCCGTGGCCTTATTTATCCAGCGTTCACTTTTAGCAGCCCTTTCTGCCCCCGCTCCCCACTTTCAACAATACCTGTATTCTTAGAAGTGTCATAGTTATGAAGACATGCTGGCTTCCTACACTGTGCTTGGCATTAACTAGGTCTTACTGATTAAACTCTAATTGGTTGGTTTGCCTTATGCCAGAAATCATGGTTTACAAGCCATCACGGGGGCTCCCAGCACTGGGGGTGGCTGGCGCCTTGAGGATGCTCTCTCCGTCTTTTGACTTTACTTGTAGTCTTTTAATGTGTTCTGTAGTTTTTAAATGTCTTTATGCTTCTTATTTGAGATGGGCGGCGTATAAATTTGATATAGAAAGAAAGAAAGCCAGACAGACAGCCTGGGTTCAGACTATGTCTTAAGCTAAAGACAAACCATCCATATTTGTTGCTTAATTGGTGTGTGAATCAGAGCAAAATGAGAGGCTGAGAAGCAGCTTATTCTATTTTTGTGTAATCTCCAGGTTGGCCTTGATTCTTTCCCATTAACAGTTGGAAGAGAGAAGGGATTTTATTCTTATTTTTCATTTCCTCCTTCCGGGCATGTCCTTCCTGCAGAATTATGCCTCGGCTGTAGAATAGCGCAGAGGTTCTGGTACCTCCCACCCAGGGAGGATGAACCTTTGGACTGCTCGATTCACAGACCGGAGCTGACAGCTCATCCCTGTGATTTCTGCATGTACAAAATCAGTTCTTTAACTTGCCACTTCTCCTGTTTTTATGGGTTTCTGGCAGCATCCACGTTTGGAGGGAAGGTGGCTTTGCAGAAGTTCCTGAAGTCCCTGCATTTTTCAGCATCCCATTTCCTATTTCGATTTCTCATTCGGCCCGTTGAGGTAGTTCAGGTCAGGAAGCAGGTTGCACAAGGACTGTTGGAGTTCTGCTTTTTGTGGTTGTTGCAGGGTTTAATAACTGAATCTTGAAAGCCTGACAGAGTTACTCTCTCCCCCCCGCCCCCCTCTTAGAGGAGAGCCGTCTTGAGTTTCTTTTTTACTTCCTTTTGGACTAAGCTGGTGTTCACCTAATGGCTGTTGAATGCCTCCTTCTTGATGTTCCTCTACAGCCCTTTACATTCTTCATCTGGTGCCTTTGCAGGGCTGAGTCTACCTGAGCCTGCTGCTGTTAGCATACTTTACCCTCTCCTTATTTTTCCTTTGAATTTCTTGCAGGATTTCACCATCAGCTAGGAGAAGATGGGCAATGTGGAAAGCAGCAACTCTTACCAGAAACATTTCTCCCGGTTTCTTTGTGATGAGCAAGCTGACATCAATGGCGTCTTTTGTGCCTTATCTGGAGCCGATGAGGCCGTCCCCGTAAAGATGGGGAAAGTGGCCCAGGCTGGTGTAACGCTTGAAGCGCTCAAGGTAAGCTGTCTAGCACTTTTCTTCTTTAAAAAAGAGATTAATCAAACTTGGTCCAGCAGATGGAAGTGCCCAGCAGATCGTGGCTGACTTGGGAAGAGCTCAGCTGGGTTGGGGTTGGTTTATCCTGCACTGGGAGATGATCAGGATCTCCCAGGGCTGGAGGCTAGATTGGGAAGTTGAAATAATATCACTGTAGAAGGCAGTATATCAGTGTAGAAGGCTTCCACGTTGCTGCCAGGAAAGCAACATGAGAGTATCCATGAAGTCACTAGGAGTTCAAGCTCATTTTGAGGGAGGCTTTATGTCTTCGTGCTTTCTGTGTTTCTGGACAGGCTGCTAGGCTAGTCTCTTGTAGCAGAAAAACTACCCAGATCCTTGATGCTTCTTAAAGACCAGTGCGTCTCAACCTTGGCCAGTTGAAGATGGGTGGACTTCAAATCCCAGAATTCCCCCCGCCCCCCCGCGGGGGGG